AATTTCACCTAAAATGAAAAAGAGATTGTTTTCAATGTCATTTAGTTTTTTTGTTGTTTTTCTAAGTTTCTGCTTATTCCCAGGTCCATAGGGCTATGGAAATGTGAATAGATTTTTTTATTCTCCGTCCCTGGACAACAGCCTCCAAACTGGCAGTAGTCTTTTAGCTGTAGCATCTCAAGGTCCATGATATAGGAAGGAAAAAAACAAACCAACCAAGACTTTTTTGTCAGTGTTTTCCAGATTGAGTTTCCTATTTTGACAATTAGCATCTCCCTTAAAATGAAAACATTCTAAGTGAAGGAGGAAAGAACAACAACTAACTACTCCCTGTGTAGATTAAAAGTGGGACCAGTCGCATGCGTTCAGAAAAGGGGGATAATTATCTGCCTTCTTCTGGAAGGGACATTACTGGTCATTCTCTTTCATTTGAGTACTAGGATCAGAGGTGCTAGGCTTCTTACCAGTTTGTAATTCCTCTTGTGGATACAAGTGATTATTAGAACTGAGGACTTTGTTGACAATGCAGTGAGCAAATATAGGCACGTAGCCTTTTTGTACAAATTTCTGAGGTGTACTTTCTAACAAAGTTTTTCTTCATTTTTTAAAGTTCTTTTTTCCTTTTTTTTTGTCTACCTGGGTCAAGAAGATCATCTTCGAGATCTGAAATTCTTCTGCTTGCTGTAGCCTGCTGCTTAAGCTCTCTGTTGTGTTTTTTATTTCATTGAGTGAAATCTTCCATTTCTAGGAGTTCTGCTATATTCTTTTTTAAGGTATTAATCTCTTTGTAAATTTCCTCTTTCATATCCTGGATATTTTTTCTTGTTTCATTGTGTTCTCTAATTGAGTTCTTCTCTCTCTGAGTTTTCTTAAGATCATTGCTCGGGATTCCTTTTCAGGCATTTCAAGGTTTTCTGGCTCTATGGTGTCTGGTACTTGAGAATTACTGTATTCCTTCAGTGGTGTCATATTTTCCTGTTTATCCGGAGTTCTAGTATTTTTTTGTTGTTGATGTTTGGTCATCTGGTAGGGTACTTGTTTCTTCTATTACTCGAGTGGGCTGTGAGAAAAAAGACTTCCTCCTCTATTTGTAGGCTCTGCTGGTGACTCTTCTTGTATCGGCGCAGTTGAGTGTGCAGTGGGGTGCCTGTAGGGTGGCCCTGGATGCTACTGTGGTGGTGAGTCACCCTTGCAGTGGCAGTAGGTGTGGCAGTGGCTGTGGTTAACCACCTTGGCTCCTGGTCGTGCGGAGGGCGGGCCTCTCCAGGGCTCCGGTGTGGGCCCAGGGCTGTGGCACACAGGATGGAGCTCACCTCAGCTCCTGGTTGTGTGGTCTGTAACCAAGTTTATTTAAACTTCTCTGCACATGTGTGTATGTATGTGTTTTCACTGGAGAAGAGACTGAAAAAAGGTAGAGAAATTTGAGTCACCCTCAGACTCCATCTGTGCTAGAAAATGGGCTGTCAAAGTAATATATTCAGAAAGACATAAAGTAGCCCTTTTTCTTTCTTCCAAGAGTGATAAGTATGACATGATATGGAGTTACAGCAAAGACAAACAGACTACAGAGGCCTCCAGGTTAATTTTTTCTTTAATTTTGTGTTTGTTTGTAGTGCTCTTCATAGCTGCCATGATATAGTTTTACGAAGAAGCTACTTGGGAAGTTGGGGCTTTAGTATTGTTGGTGGATATGAAGAGAACCACACCAATCAGCCTTTCTTCATTAAAACTATTGTCTTGGGAACTCCTGCTTATTATGATGGAAGATTAAAGTGAGTCTTGTTCTAATTACTGATGTGATTCATGTTTGTTATGCTGGATGGGATATGGACCAGGGATCAGCATCAAATTCAGACTGCTGTTTTGTAAATAAAGTTTTATTACAGCACAGCCATGCTCACTGGTTCATGTGCTGTCTGAGGCTGCTTCCACGCTACAGCAGCAGAGTTGAGTCATTGTGGCAGAGACAGTGTGCCTAAGATATTTACCATCTGGCCCTTCACAGGAGAATTTTGCTGACCCCTGATCTAGACTGAAGCATTATCTTTACCCTCTTGTCACTTACAGCTATAGTTTTATTTATCTAGTGACAGGAACTAAACCTGAGTCATTTGAGTGGACACATTGTGACGTGACAATGAGCTCTGAGCAATTTTTCCACATAACCTTCTCAAGTCCCATCCTGTCATTAGATGACTCTGCTTTATTTTTCTCCACAGCACTCATCTACCTGACATTGTATTTACGCAGGCTCCAGGAGGGAGGGATTTTGTTGCATTTATTGTTATATCCCTAGCAACCGTAACAGTGCCTTACATATAATAAAATCTCAATAAATATTTGATGAATGAATGTTCCATAGCTCACAGTGTGCCTTACAGTGCCAAGTGCTGTGCATGCATTACTTAATCTTAACAACCCTATGAGGTAAGTGCATTATTATTCCTGTTCTGCAAACAAGATAAGTCAGGATTGGAGAGGCTAAGAAACTTGCCCAAGATCAAACAGCTGAGGGTGGTTAGCTGGCATTCCAACCCAGGACTGTCTGACTGCAGAGCAGTAGCCTTTAACCCCTCTGCTAACAGCCACCACTGGGCAGAAAGTACTCTCTCAACCAGTGTGCAGCTTCTTTTCAAAGCTCAGGCACTGGGAGAAGAAAGAGAAAATGTCACGTTAAGAGATTGTCACCAACAGAGAGGGGATGGGTGGTTGTAAGTTCTCAGTGCCTAGTTTTTGGTGGAAGAACTAGTTCTTAAAAAGTAAATGTTGACATACTAGTCAGAATGCTGCACAAATGGAGAGTTTACACTGTTTGCAAAGAGAAAGTGACATCTAAATAATATTGTGAAAAGTTGATTAGGAGTAGTATGTTCCAGATCAGCCTATATTGATAAAGAGGAAAAAATCATAATTTTAAGTAGGAAAGAGTAGAGATAAAATGAATTAATCATTCTCTTAGTTAAGTTACTTGACTAGTTTCGGCCTCAGTTAATTAATTTATAATTTGCATTCCACCTACTTCCAAAAAGAAATCGAAGTATTTAACAATAAAATAGCATATTCATTCATGTTACAAACTAAAGACCAAAATACATAAGGATAATTATGATTATAATTATCATAAAGATAGAAAGGTCTCAGATTCATCATCCATTTGTTACAATTCTGCTTAGAGGACAGTGAGTGGCAGTAGCTGAAAGAAGAGGAAGTATGGGTCTTACTCAATTTAATTGCAACCTTCAGATGTATGAGCTCTAAAAATGAATAGAGAAAGAACAGTCCAAATAATAACCAACCCTCTCCAAATGCATGATTTGGTGTTTTTTTAAAGAGAGAGCAAATTTACTCTCCTGATTGTATTTTGCTTAAGCTAATATGAAAATTATTCTGCTTGTTCTAAAAATTCACTTACCAGTTGTGGGAGGGGTTGGCACAGGGGTATCGTTGGTTGGCAAGGGAAAGCCAGCATATGCTTAAACATTGTCCCAGATGTTTCTCAAAGTAGATAATAAACCCTAGTCATTGATCTCCAGGCTTAACAAATCTCAATTGAGGTAATGTTTTTAATACCATGAAAATAGTAACATGCTGTTTCTATTTCTGTTTGTCTAGGTGTGGAGACATGATTGTGGCTGTAAATGGCCTGTCAACAGTGGGCATGAGCCATTCTGCATTAGTTCCAATGTTGAAGGAGCAGAGGAACAAAGTCACTCTGACAGTTATTTGTTGGCCTGGCAGTCTTGTGTAGATTTTTGAAATTGGTTTTGAATCTCGCATCTTTCTTTTTTGGGTTTTTGAAAGAAAATCCTTTGGTTTCATTGTGTTTCTGGTTGTTAGGAGCTACTGACACACAGCTGGTATACACAGGGCCAAAAACCACTAAAATTGTTCTTTTGTTTTTATTTAAATGGTTTCCTATTAGCTACATTTCTTTTAGCTTGGAAATAGTCTTCCACTAACCATTGTGAGTTTATATTTTCAGAATTCAGACTCTCAGTTGTCAAAATGCTACCTATAATAATGAATGCAACCCACCCAAACTGTGACCCAACCAGGTGGATTAAAGAACTTCTGGTCATTATTTTCAGTAACTGCATCATAAAATGAGTTACGTATCCCCCAAGACTGGTGTCAGTGAAGTCAGTCACAATAGCATCTACTGCCACCATCAAGCCAATGCCACGAATAGATAGATTTTAAATTGGGGTGGTTATTGTCCCCATTTTTCATTGGTGCCAACATTTCAAAACTTCATACCGTTTATGAAGTGATTTTCTGGTTTTTTTTTTCTACTGCAAACTCTCAGTGCTCATAGATAATGAAGACATAAGTCTGACACCACTGAAGAGATTTTTTAAAAATAATGTACTGTTATTAGAATAGTAGAGAATAAAAGGTGATGTTATCCAATGACAAAGGGATTTGGAAGATAATTATAGTTTAGTGCTAGAGATGGGAAAAGATCGTTGACTTGAACAGTCTAAAAGCATTAAAGGTTCATTTCCAAAGGAGTGTTTTGTTCTATAGGAAAATTTTGAAGCAGATTTTGCTAAAAATCATTTCTAGACTTTGTATCATACTTATCAGCTGATTTATACAATTAAACTAGATAATAAAGATAAAACCATATTGCTGTTAAATAAACACACATATATCACCCTAAGTAGGAGAAGGGAGACCACCTTATTTTATTTTTATTTGATTCAGATAAGAGTCCTTGAGTGTTTAGAAACCCTTATTTTTCCCATTATTTCTTATGAACTTGTTTCCAGTAAGAGACTGAAAAGTTCTGGTTTTTATCTGTAGTCGTAGATTTTAGATGTTAATATCTGTCAGTCAGCTCTTGGTCACTAAGCTATTTCATATATTTTGAAATGTTATTCAAAACTATGACTAACCCATTTTGTTTGTCCTTTATTCAACATGGTTGTCCTTTGGAGAGCTCAAAGAAGTGAATAAGAGAAAAATGTCTTTACCTTCTTCACATTAAGATACTTGAAAAGTTTCATTTGGAACCCTAGTTTAGAATCTGAACTAATTTACAAGTGACCTCCATAATAAATGGTTCCATAATAAATGGTATTGATACTCAGAGAATGTATTTCACAATACTACAGTATATTATGAAGCATGACCACTTTATTTTCAAACTTAGCAATTGCATTGCTGGGATTTATTGTATCTGTCGCATGTCACTGATTATTCCAGTTAGTTTTATAATGATTTTATTAAACCTGTCTCTTTGGAATAAATAAGAAATGGCAACAGTAATTGCTGCTGACTCATTCAACCCCTTAGCTACACTGTATGGTCAACATCTAACCAAGATACAGTGGAATGTCCCACACAGTATATTACTGTTATGTGATGATTGGCTTCTGAAGCAACTTGATATTCTAATTGACATGGAACAAGTTTTTTTTTTTTTCTTCTGCTCCCCAAATAGAATTTTATAACCGACTTTGCTATTTTTTTAAACAGTTTGTAAGAATGTGTCATTTCTTGGGGAGTGGTCATCCATCAACAAATATCTTACCTGCTACTTTGTTATATGTAAAATACTTACATTGAGCCCAGTGGGTATAATGAGTATTTTGAAAGAAGAAATTTTTTCAATATTATTTTTATCATCGAAATCTTGGAATCAGCTTAAGCTATAGGTTTTATTATAAAAGACTAAGCTTTTTGGTCAGAATGATATTTGGTGATGGAAACTTGTTCATAATTTATTACTGTTGAAATATTTGGATTTTCTCATTTAACCCCTTATAATTAAATATTTGATTTGTTCTGTGCCTTCATTTTAAAGTACTTCAGGGTTTTTCAGATGTGTTTAAATAATGGTGTGATAATCATTCAGGATGGAAATAAAAGTCATCCTTTCCACAATAGTGACTTTGTCTCTTTTATTGAACAGCAGATATTAACTCAATCTGTGATTTTGTTTTTGTTTGTGACGCTGCTGTCCTTACAATATGCCAAGCTTGAAACTTCGGAATCACAAAGTCAACTTCTTTTCACTCCTGTAGGCAGAACATATACGATCTGTATTGACTCTTGGAGTTTTTACCTACACAGTGCCTGTAGACCTGCTTTATCCAATACATGATGCTGTTGAGTACCTGAGATGTGGCCAGTGCTACGTGTTGAAATGATAAAATATGTTATTAAAATAACATGTAAAATTGACTTCACCAGGCTCTTTACTTTTTCTAATGTGGTTACTAGAAAATTTTAAATTGCATTTGTGGCTCACCTTATATTTCAGTTAAATGGCCATGGCCCCCTCACCTCTTTATTGTCATAGCATTTGCCAAGGCAGGCAGTCCTGACATTGTGGTTTCTGTTCTTCCTATGGCTTTGATCATTCCTTGCATGAAAACCAAAATTTTATTAACAGAGAAAGTTGTCTTCTGATTTTCTAGTGAATTAAGTTCAAACCAAGGCCTCTGTGGTCTGACCCCTAATCCAGTGTTCCAGATGGCTTCACAACCCCATCCACCCTCTGTTACTCCAGCAGGCTCCTCAGAACCCCCTAGCTCCTGCTTCCAACACACGCTCATAGTATTTTCTTGAGCAGTAGTGCTTTCCCTTCTCTGCAAGTTCACATTGTTCCCATGCTCGGAGGCACGACTTGAATGCTGCCCCATCTACCTCCCTCGACTTCACTCCCCACTGTCCCTCTTGGATGAATCTCAGTCGGCCTTTATATTTCCATGTATAATGGCCTCATCACTTGCTCCCTAATTATTGTCATAATTTTAAGCTACGTTTGACAGCCATCTTGCAATTTTGACTACCACTGACGCCCTAATCTGCAGCCCCACAGTTAATAGACTGAATATCCTGTTGCTTTAGGGCACCTAGATCTCAGCACCTCCAAAACTGCAATCTGTGTTTTCCCGAGCATTTGCCTACTTCCAGTTTCTCTGTCTTTCAGTCCAAACTCTTTTGCCCTCAGAGTAACTTTTCTAAATTCCAACTCGGATCATATCCTTGCTCTATTTAAAAATCTTCAGTGGTTCAACATTGTCTACAGGACAAGGTCAAAATGGCTTGATGCAGCACAAAAGGGTCTTCAGGTCTTCATGCCTCCCCCTGGAGCCTTATTTCCCACTTTTTCTTGCTTCATATACAAAGCACTCCCCCACCCCCTCCCAACACACACACACACCCCACCTTTCTATGTCTACAGGGGCTGACTTGGCTCAAGTGACATTACTTTTTTTGAGAAATCTTTACAAATCTCTCTGGGCAAACTTTTCTTTCTCTCCTTTTAAAGGTTTTATTAAGTTATATTTTTTATGATCATAGCTGTACACTAGGGAGAAGAAAAACTTGCCAGGTAGTTGCTTGATTTTCCGTCTATAGCAGTTTTTTAAATTAGACAATAACAGAGATTCTGAACCTTCTGAAGAGCTCAAGACATTTCCAAGGGAAGAGTCCAGGCTGAATGTCCTTTTTCTTTCCAGGATCCCAATTGCATTTCATCATCACATGTCTCCTTAGGCTCCTCTCGGCTGTGCCATTTCTCAGACTTACCTTGTTGATGAGGATCCTGACAGTGTTGAAGAGTGCTGCTCAGGTGTATTGTAGCTTGCCCTCTATTGGAATGTGTGGTTTTTTCTCGCGATTAGACTGGCATATGGGTTTTGGGGAAGAAGATCGCCAAGGTAAAATGCTACTGTCTTCATACCACCTTAAGGGTATGTTCTGCCAACATGATTTATGAGTGCTTATGTTGACCTTGATCCCCTGGCCTAAGTTGTTTGTCAGGTTTCTCCACAGTCAAGTTGCTCTTCCCTTCCTCCCCCCACCTGCCATACTGTGTAGGCTTTGGAAGGAAGCCTGTGCACAGCCCACACTTAAGGAGTGGGGAGTTATGTTCTCCCTCCATTTGTTTCTGAGCTGGTCAGGAAAATTTAAGGTGCCTCTGCTGCTTAGGGAGGACCTTGTGGGTGGAAGGAAGGGAAGCGGAAATCCTTGGTTAAAAATATCAGGAGCATATTTCTTTTTTGAAAACCCTTCCTTTACTCTGCTATTCATAGCAAAATTTCCCGAAGGAGTTGTCTCCATTTTGTGCTCTTTGACTCTTTTTAATTTATAACAATTTTTCTGATAAAAAGTTATAAAGAAAAAAAAATCCAGTGAACACTTGCATACTCACCACCCAGCTGAAATATGAAATGTTGAATTTCCTTCTCCATTTGTGTCTGCTCTTTCTGGCCTGCCCATGCATTTCTTCATAATTACACCACATATTTATGTATCATTCAAATACAGTGTCATTGTGCATGCTTTTAAACTTTATAAATGATGCCATGCCTGTGTGGTGCTCTACAACTCACTGCTTTTGCTCCAAGATTCATGTGTTTACAGAGCTCAAGTTCATTTTCAGGCTATATATTCAATGACGATGGCAATTCTTTAGTTGACGGGCATTTAGGTTATTTCCTTATTTTTTATTTATTTTTTTTTTTTTTGGTTATTTCCATTTTTGCCTCCATTAACAGTGCTGCTGTGAGCACTCAAAAACAAGTCCCCTTGTGCATTGGAGAGTTTCTGCAAGGTCTGTACATAAGAATTAACGTGAGGAGCTTTTCAAACATACCAACACTGATTGAGTTGGTCTGCGATGGGACTTGGGCATCAGTTGTGTTTGGCTTTGCATGCTCCTCAAGTGAGTCTAATTTGCCACTATAGTTGAACACTGCTGCTCTAGGAGTGGCATTGCTGGGATTGGGGGTAGGTGCACCTTTACAAGGTAATTAATCTCCAAGTGGTTGTACTAATGCACATTTCTGCTAGTAATGTGGGCGAGCTTTCTTGATCCATATTCTTGCTGACAATTAGTCTTATCAAACTGAAGGGAGTCAACAGCATCTTACTATGCTTTCAGTTCACATTTTGCTGGTTACTGGGGAAGTCCAGTACCTTCTCACATGCTTACTAGTCATTCAGGTATCCTCTTTGGCGAATAACCTGTTTGACCATTTTCTACTGGGCTTTTTTGCGTTTCTCTTATTTATTTGTAGAGATTCTTTATTCTGAATGTTAATACTTAGTGGAATATACGTGTTGCAAATATTTTCTCCCAATTTGTGACTTCCCTTTCAGTTTTGTAATGATGTGATAAACTGAAGTTCATCATTATAATGTAGGCAAATGTATAAATAGCATATAAGCAGATTCTTATTTATCTACCTTTGAAATTTGTCCTGCCAAGCATTGCCCATTTACGTTATTTTGGTTATTGTATTTTTTCTTTCCATCTTATGTTAATTTACCCTGCCTCTCTGTGCTTTATGTTTTCTTCTACTAAATTATAGCTCTGTTCCTGTTCACTTAGTAGTTATCCTTGAATTTTTCTTCCTTCATATTTAATGTGAAGTCTCCACTTGGTCAGTAGCTCTCCCCTCCCTCTGCACAATACGAGGAGGACCTTAGACTGCGTGACCTTTAACCATGCTACAATCTGACTTGGTGGCCAGTGTTGTAGTTCCTTCCATTCTCTTCTCCAATTAGTTGTTATAATTGTTATACACTGTTAAGGTTTGGTTAGATTTCATTTCTGAACCACAGTTAGAATACTAAAAAACTGACATTAGCACAGTTCATGATTAACATTACAATAGCATCCCACAAAGAACATGTGGAAAAGAGAAGACCAGGGTGGGATTAATGGCGACATGGTCAGACAGTCTGGAAGTTGAAGTTGCAGTAAGAAAGGATTTCATAAAGGCTTGGGATACAGTAACATCATTACTATTTTATTGCCAGTTTCCAAGCTCTCTGGGAATCACTAAAGCAATTCATCCTTTTCCAGGGGTGGGGGAGGCAGTCTAGCAAAGGTTACTGTCACTAACTTTTCTAGAGCAAATGCAGCTTGCATTATAAACCCGGAGATATGTTTTCATAGGCGAAATCGGCAGGCAGATTTAGAGGGTTCAGTTTTCTCAAGATACTGTGCAATGTGACCAGATTTTCAAACAGTTGAATCTTCCCTCTCTATCCTTAGCTATTACTCTTTACTCACTGAAGGACCCTGAGGTCTGCTGATTCTATTGTTATAACTTCAGAACTTGATTTCTATTCTTTTACATATTAAAGTGGGCTGTAGCTTTATGATTCCTCAAATGGTTGAAGCATTAGTCAGAGAAATGAATGGTTAAAATTAAATTTGAAGTTAGCAAACCTGAATTTCAGCTTTTAAGGGGACTCCACCCAGCACATCGTGCCTAGCTCCTATGTTACAGCATAGAGATGCCCCATTAATTCAGACTTAACTAATTTAGAATTTGAAAAGTTTAAACAGAGTTGAAGTTAACTTGGCACCTTACATAAGCAATAGCTATCTTAAATCAACAAATTTAAAAATGGAGGGTGGGGTATTTAAGCTGCATGCTAAGTATAATGTTTTCAAGTTTTCTTAAGCATTTGAAAAATACCCACGCACATTCAAGTGATATGTTTCTTTCCCATGTAGTCATTTAAATGAGAATTTATCCAGCATCTACTATGTATGTAACATATAGTGAGGCTCTGGATCACTTCTTCATAACATCTTATCTTTCATAATTCAGATTTTCTTCCATTTGTCCACATTTGGTGATAAAACCATATAGATTAGATCAGCATAGTCAACTGCTGTCCTGGTCACAGATTAGGAATTCATGAATTGAGCTGTCTCTCTTCTCCGCCTCCTGAAGGAAAGGTTTCAGCTCCTCTGGGTCTTTATTAGAAAGCTCTTGCCGTTTCATACTGTAAATATTTCACTTAACTAAACTACCAATTAATTTCTATGGCAACACAAAAGCTCTTTAGGAGTAAAGTTGTACATGTAAGTGCAATACCTAATAGCTATAAAGTGCCTAAGTAAGAGATGCTAAAA